TAGAAATATAAATAGCAAGTTCTGATGCAAGGGCTTTTTTTTGTTCTCCAAGTACAGATTCAGAAGGAAGGTCTCTGTCGTGCCCTGCTGCAGACACAAGAGCCCTTTGCAGCGTGCACAAAAAGCCTCTTTTCTTGTCTCTAAGGGGTCCAAGTTCAGAGCATCCTTTCCAAAGGAGAAAGGCAGGCATGCTGGAAGGCATTCCTGGGCTGGGAGGCACCCAGAAGGATGGGAACCCATCAAGCACCAACACAGAGGTCAATGTGGACACGCTACCGAGACAGTGGCTTGCAGCCACTGATCGATGACAGGAAAAGCATTAAAACGCCTCTTTGGTTAAGTCACAAATTCCAGTCCTATGATTAACGCTGCTCTTAGCCAGGGAGCAAAGCAAAGGCTCAAACATCACAACCAGAAGGGACGTCTGAAGAAAGAGATCTTGTGTGTCTGGGACTGCACATTCTGCAAAGAGATGACCCCAGGCCCACCACGCTAATCTCCAGATCTCCATTTTAAGGACTTAGCCAAAACAAGGCAGGAGTCTCTGAAACCCAGCTCTACTCATGAACTCCAGGCATGTTAAAATAGTAGGCTTAGGTTCTCCTTTTTCTTATAAATTCATTCTGCAGACAAAAAGCCAGACAATTAGGGATTTTAAGTATACTCAGTCCAGCCAGAGACTTGCTGATCTTAATCAAGTTTCTCAAAGCAATGGCCATAATTTCTACACAAAACCATTCTTATTGTCCTTTTTTTTTTTTTAAAGCTCTGCTTATCAGTTCCTACAAAGTCTCAATGGATCAGACTGGGAGTTTAAACCTAAATGTAGAAGAAGAAATTATTGAGGTTTATGGATGTTAGGTCTAGTAATTGTTGATAAATATCTTCCTCTGATGACATCTGGAGGATTTAAATAACAATGAAGTGTTAGATCAAATCCCAGATAAACAAATTTTGGCAAAAATTTAAATATTTCAAGCAAGGAGGTTTCAGACACTTTTCTTGGGGAAAAAACTACCAAAAAGTAAGGAAAAAAAAGAACAAAAAGTTTTGTTCCACATTCTACCACCACATCCTCATCTTGACTTTTTCTAAGCAACCCTTCTCTGACACCATCTCTGGTCTCCTTCTGCATTATTTATGAAATCTTTCTACAGCAAATGACTCTTCCAAATAGTAAGAGGTTTTTAAAGCATCAGGCTTGGAGAGCAAGGCTGCTGTGCAAGTCCAACTCAAACTTCCAATGTTAGTTTGAGTCCTGTGCTTAAAGCTCCTTTGGAAATGGCTCCTGGGCACATGTTCTCAATTGGAACAAAAAGGCAGGCCAGAGATTATATTTCCAAAGGATCACAAACAGTCACACCTGGAAACACTGTTTTTTTCCCCAAGTCCCATTTAGCAAACTTAGCTGGATGCTTGCCAAAGGTATGTAGCTCCGTTTTGAGCAGCTCAGCAATACTCCCTGGGACAGCAGCATCAAGATGGGATTTTGCAATGGGGTCTGCATGGCCACAACATCCATATATCCCTGCACTGATCCCAGGCAGAGGGGCCTAGCGTTCCCCATCCCACAGAGGGCCTCTGGCTAGAAGTGCCTCGTCCCAGACAAACCCACCATTGTGCAGGATGCTCTGCAGCGCCAGCCCGGCAGGACACCAAGGACACTGAAAACTGATTTCTCCAGCCAGCCCGAGCTCCCGCCCCACTGATTAATGGTCCTCCACCACAGAAGCTAATAGGATCCTCTTTGAAATCCAAATAACCAGCATTAGTGACCTCAGAGCCCTGTCTGCTAACTGGACGTACAGCCTGCTTTTAATTCTCTTTATTTTCCACTGCATCTTCCCTACCAAAGCTTCCTTTCCCACAATGTTCTTTCCGAGCTGCTACAGCCCTGCTCTGCTGAGTGCTCCCCACCTGCCACCCCGGTTACACCCCCTGTGTGGCTGCACAGCAGCATCAGCCCAACCCAACACATCCTCCCCCTGATCCCCTACCCTAGGGAAGGGTCCAGGTTGGCTGCTGCAGCCCCACAGCATGTCTGTACCCAGACAACAGAAATGCTCCCCTGGCACAGCAAACAGCTATCGAGTGTACCCCAGGGTTGGTTCTCAGCAGCCAACAATTTAAAGCTAAAATTTACCAGGCTTCCTTGTCATTCCCACACCTAGCTCAGCAAAAGCCTGTCTGTAAGGGACATTTAGGCAACCAGCTCTGACTACAGTAAATCTCCTTCTTTCCTCTCTCTCTCTTTTTTTTTTTTAATCCATAACCACCAGCTTTAAAGCTTTAAATCAATATCCCCTCTTGCGATCTGCATTCAGCAAGGAATTATTCACATCGAGAGCTTTAAAAATTAAGCTAAACCCTGCAGGGCCCAGGCCAAACTTATATCACAGCAAAGCTTTAAACACTGGATCAGGGACACAGCGTGAGCCACGTCCTGGTCTTAGATGCAAACTAAACGTAGAAAACAAAGCCGCTGTCACTGTGTTAAAAGGAAAAACCATAAACGGTCCATGCTGTGGCTTCTCCCAGGGACACAAGGGACAAAGGCCCTCCTTCCATGAAGAGGGGTCAGCCCATTCCAACTAAACACCTCGCAAAGGAAAGAAACTAATTGTCCCTGCAAAGGAAAGAGACTTATTGTCACTGTTTGAAAGAGAAAATGGCAGCTGATCTATCCACCCGTCTGTAATGCTGGCCAGAGGGAGGTCTTTGAGGGATGATGTGAGGACAAAGAGGGCAGTGCCATGTGCTCCCTCCACGGAAGTACCCACATCCATGGGAACAGGAGGTTCTCAGCACTGCTCACCCACTGCTGCTCACAGCCAGACACAGCTGGCCCCAAGCTGAGAGTCCACTACATTCCTAGAGGTGCCAATTTTAAGGTGCAATTGAAGAAGAGGTGGGAGAAGAAAAACTCACAACCTAAAAGAGCTCCTGTTAGTGCCCCAGAGGACCACAAAGGCAGGAGAAGATGGATGAAAGAGCAAAGATTCTCAGCCTCACCAGTAAGAGAAGCTCCCATCTTTAATTTGAGGAGGGGTCTGATCTGCTCAATGACAGGACTAGATATTACAGGGAAGACACCCTACACCCCATCTCTCCTCCCATCACAGGGACAAGGGGCTGCAAGCACGTCCCTCTGCACAAAGATACCTCAATACCACCTGATGCTGTGATGGCAGAGGGTTGGATGTAACCAGTGCAGGAAACAGCTGGATTTACACCACCCCCACAGTGGCATCTAAATGAGCACTGAAATCTTTCCATCTTCCCTGCCTGAGGGATGGCATGAAGAAGTCCATCTGCACTGTGCAGAGAGCATCCTTGATCCCACAGTCACCAGCCTCGTGTAAGACCCAACAAGGACTGGCAAGGGTCAAGGAGCTGGAACAAGGCTAAGGAATTGGTACAGAACAAAGCAAATCAGGAGGCTCTCCTGGCCCCAAACATCCTCATGGTCCCACACACTGACCTCTTAGAGGTATGAACTGCACAGGGAACTTGAGGCTTGAATCCACCCCAGGGCAGAGATTATGCCTCATGTTCAGCTCTTGAGATGCCCACACACAGCCACTTCTCCAGCTCTCAGTCATGGGGGGTGACTGCCCAGGCCTTAATATTTGTAAAGTCCTTAGGAAATCCTTGGAAGGAAAGAGTGGAGTATTATTATGAAATAATAGCTTTTTATTCTGCTCCATCTGAAAGCTGCAGCTCTTTGTTCGGCCCCACGCTGTCTAAGCCAAGGGTTAAGGCTTGGCTGGCTGGGCTGTGAGAAGCCATCCTCCAGGGTGGGGGAAAGGCAGACTTCTGAGGGTCTCCAGAACAAGGTGCCTTTCTAACCTATTCGGACTCCAATAAGCAGCTTTCGATGTAACAATAGGGGGCTGAAAACCCAAATGCCCCAAAGCCTGCAGACAATCAGGTCTGTTTAAGCATCCACAACTGACATTTCTAACACCACCTGAAATGTGTATTTTCCTTTCTGTTTCAAAGCGTTATTTTCCAATCAGATTATGTGCAGGATAAATACCCTTATGCAGTGACAGCAGGCACTGCACAAGAAAATTGGGGATAATGGTAAATGCAAAGATTTACAGATACTTATCTCAGCATCTGCAAGAAATATTAGCTTTGAACGTGGTGTTCAAACACAATGTCAATCACTAGAACCTAGAAAAGTGCAAACTTGCTTAGCTGAACTTAGCTCTAAAGTAAATTAAATAAATAAAATATAACTAGGCTTTTAGAGCCCATCTCTCGAACGGGAAGCAGCAGCCACATGCATAAAAAGCCAGGCTGGTCCAAGTTAACAAAGCACAGTAACAGATGAGAGACTGAGAGTAATGACCCTGGAGACACTGCTCTTCTCTGAGGTCAGGGACATCCAACCATGAGGAACACAACAATCAGGGAGGAGACCTGGCCATCACCTGCAGACAGAGCAGGCACAGACACACTGTGGCTGCCAAGGAGCACATCAGTGCCACTCAGCCAGGCTGTAGGAATGGCCCCACAAGCACCCCAAGCTCACTGCAGTCACAAAACAGCACCCACATGCTCAAGACATCACACTACACCCATACCTTGGGGACACAAAGGCTTGGTGGTTTCTGCTGTCACCATTCCTTCCATACCCCCCACCCAGGAAGAGGACCCCAAGCTCAGGCTGCTGCCAAGGCTCCCTGACCAGCACCACCCAGGACAACACTCCTACACACAGATTTGCCAACCAGCAGCTGTTAAATGCCCACACAGGTCCTATGCATTCCCACATAAATAATCCATGTAGCAAGGAGATCTCTGCCACACACTTGCCCTGACACTGACCTACGAGGAAAGGATGTGCAATAAGGTCCTGAAACTTTAATGAATCACTGTGAAAAAGAATGTTACAGTCACCAGCTTAAAAATACACCAAAATCACAAGCAATTCCAATGGAGATAAAAGATGAAGAAGGAAGATGCCACTTCAACAGCCCAGATCTACTTACCTCTAAAAGTTCAACACATACTGGCATTTCTGAAGATGTGGCTGGACTTCCCCTGGCTGGCCAGACCCACTCTGAAAGCACAGGAACCACTCTCAACTCCTCAGCTCCTTCCCCTGCACTTGCTTTCAGCACGGAACATCGTTCACACCCCCAGAGTTAGCCAGACACGCAACTGATCCTCCAGATAAACAGCCCGACATCTAACAGCGCTTCTTGGGCTACAGCCACAGACCATCAACAGAAGAAGCGAAGCTGAGATCTGAAATCTTATCTGGTCGCTGCAGAAACGCGGCGGAGAAGGTCAGCTTTCCATCGTTCAGCAAAGCCATTCAGCGCCAGCACACAAACACTAAAAAATATCACTGGTGAGTTAAGACAACTTTGGGGTTTCTGCCTTGCAGCCAAGTATCACTCAGCGGCCATTAAACAGATTTTTTAGCCATCAGTGGAACATTAGAAATTCCATGAATCTGAAGTTTATTAATTCCACAATACAGTTTATACTTTTTTCAGGATTTATACTCCTTGGCTTCACTCTTTCAGCTATAAATAAAACCATTTGCTAAGCTGGCTGATACATCGCAGCCCATGACTGGCACATTTATGCAAGTTGGCTGAAAAACAAGAGGGTTCAAGGAATCGCCAGAAACACTAAATCCAGTTATTTCAAATCTATTTTGAAACATCTAATAAATCTGCAGGGATCACTTGAGATACAGAACTGGCTAAACTCGAGTAGCCGTGCTTCTGAACAGCATCCCTGACATTTATGGAGTGGCTGATGTGCATTTTACAGCTTTCTCTCTCAAGTCCTTCACAGCCCATCGCAGAATATTCATGTCTTTGGAAAGTCTTCAGAAGAGAAAGAAATGGAAATAAGAGAAAGAAATGGCAAAAGAGATCCAGCAGAACAGACTTATAGGATCCCCCATGCCTTTCCACAAGCTTGAAATAGAAAAGAGACCTACATCCACGGGTTCCCATCTTGGTGGAGTGCACCTGGCAGGGACAGGTTCAGGGGTCTTTGTACCACAGGTATCCCAAGCAAGAGGCCTGTGAAGACAGGTTATATACAGGCTCAGCACAAGGAAAAGGTGGATCTGGTCTATCAAAAAGCTCAGGCAAGAAAGTGAGCCTGCACAGCTACTCCCCAAGTCAAAGGCAGTTGGAGAGCTCAGAGTCTTGTGAGGCGGGCCAGTGGCAACAGTTTCTGGGGCAGATGGAAATTGTGAAATCTGTAGTTTCTGGGGTAGATGGAAATTCTGAAATCTGCCCAAGTCTCAGAGCTTCCCTGGTTAGCAAGAGACAAGATGAAAGACCTGATCAGGAGGAAAAAAAATAAAGATATCCAATTCAAAATTTTTATCATAGCACTCGTAATCTGTGCCCCAAAAACTACTTGTGAACAGAAAGAGACTCTGGCCTCAAGATACATCAATAGATCTTACCCCAGAGCACCAAGGGACTGACAGCAGTTTTGCTCCTCCAGTAAGATGAGCAAGCCAAAGGAGAAGGCACAAAAATAAACTCATAGGGAGAGGGCTGTGTAGGAAACCCTGAGCTAGAGGTGGGGCCTCAAGGCTCAGGTGGAGCTTTTGCATGCTTATTTCCTGAGCAAAACCAAAACCCCTGGCAAAGCTGCTCAGACAGGTGATAATTAGCACTGCAAAGCCAAGACAGGCTCTCCAGGAACTCAAGGTGTGCAGTGCCTCCAGCCATGAGAGAGCAATTTGAGCCCTGGGGAAACTGCAAAAATTTTTAGGCAAACAGAGATATGATAAAATAAATTGGAGTATTAATAGATGAGAGCCAAGGTCCAGGGCTTCCTTTCCTGCCCACCCTGCTCCAGGCAGGAGTTGATTTTCTCTCAGCCACCAAAGCCATACTTCTGAGTGTTACTTTGGGGCACTCCAACCTCCAAAACTTACAGCCAGGGTATGCTCCCCAATAGCTACACATTGGGTTTTCCTTACCTGAAAACATCTTTATTGCTTGAAAGTCCCTCCTCTCACTTTCTATCTCCCAAACAGCAGCAAGAGATTGTTGCCAGCAGCTGTGTTTCATCCATGGAAATACCAACCATTCTGGAGCATGTAACACTTGATAAACATGAAATCCAGTGGGATGTTTTTATCCCTGCGTCCTCTCTGGCTGACAGGTGACAAGACTACAGCCCCTAAACACACACTGCAGTCTAATTCACCTCCCTGCCACCCCCAGCCCTGTCCAGAGAACGCTGCAACACCCAAGGCACAAACCTACCCCAGAGGTTTCCCCGCCTCTGCTTCGCTAGCTGGGAGCCAAAAAGCAAATAATTCATCATTCCCTGCCCCTCCCTGGTGCAACTGCTCAGAAATTGCTGAGTCCGACCTTACTTATCACTGGATGTAGTGCAGTTCTGTTTTCTAATCCCCCACATCTGCATTTTGTACAGCCCTTTTCTAAGGCTCTTCACATTTGCTTCACAGTTTATCGCCCTGCTCAAGCAAGATGACGCATCTTTAAACTTTCCACTCAAAAGAAGCGCTGAGGAATGAAACCATTCAAAACCCAAGAAGCTGCCTCGGAAAATAGTCCCCACAGAAAACGGCCAGCAGGAGTTTTTTTTTGAAGTCATAAACTTAATGAGACAAGGGATTATCTCTTCTGTTGGAAAGACTCCTTGTTCCTGGTATCATAACAAAATAGCGAACCATTTGAGGGCTTTTCTTCTTAGTTTTGTTCAAAAACTAGGACAATAACAACTGAACTCAGAGAGGGGAAAAAAAAGTTTCCCTATGTGGAGACAGAAAAAGGCTTCCCTGCACAGACTTAGGGAACAGCCCATTCTCTATGCCAATTCAAGAAGTCCTTGCAACACAGATGACCCTAAAGCAATATAGGTCCTATAGGTCTACCCCAAAGTTCCCTCAGTGATATATCCCAGCAGTCAGAAAAGGTTTACCATGGTCTCTACAAGCTCAAATACACTTCAGAAATTTTAGGACCCTGTATGTAAATAAGATCAGTCCACTCTGGCAAAGTTGTTTGTAGACAGAGCCAGACAACACACAACTCAGAGAGAACAAGACCTAAATGCAGAGATGCTGCTGCTGCCTGGCATCCCATGGGGTTTGACCTTTACATCGTTCCCCCTTAAATAAACCTCAGGTTCACACCCACCCACGGTCTCTGGGGACCCCCATCTCACAGGAGACAGCACTGGCTCATTTTATCTGGGCTTGGGGGTCTGCAGGGTCTGTCAAGCACACATACACCAATCCAAACAATAAGGACACCATCAACAGACAGGGAATCATTTCATCCCATGCCTTCAAACCACCAGCCCACTCCTCCTCTTTGCCCTCAACACCACAGGGAGCCTCTGATCCCAACCAGCTCCCTGAGCACAGCCCCCAGCGCCTTGCAGTTCAATACGGGGGCTCTCTGTGGGGGTCTGGACTGGGTTTCAAAGACAAAGCATTGCCAGAAGAGGAAAACTCTGGATAAAAAACAAATGGGCAGCTCTGCAGCTCTACATCAGATCTGCAGGAAGCCAAGGGATGCCTAGGAACACCCAATGGACACAGTCCCCCAGCAGGGGTGCTAAACCAGAAACCACATGGCTTGGTGGCCCCAAAGAGCACATGCTGCCTCCCACGCTGAAGCCTTGCAGGGTTATTTGTACGCTAGGCCATGCTGAACCAGGGCAGCCAGAGACTGCTGTGGCTCCAAGGAGGACCATACACACGGCCTCCCCTCATGCTCTTGACCAGCTCAGTCAAGAGCAACACCAGGCTGAGCAACAGCCATGGCACTGGTGAGGCAGTACCTTCCATGGGAGGGGTTGGGCAGGACAGAAAGGAGAACGGAAAGCCAAGTTTGACTTGGCCCAGCAGCAGGCTGGGACTGCAGACGATGCCCTGGCCCAACACACAACCTGCTGGGAGCAGAACCCAATGCCTTGCTCTACCATGGACGCCATTGGTGCTATCAGATCAAACCCCGGTGGCCTCAGCTGAGCCCTGGGGAAAATGGGGAATATCTGTTGTCCCTTTGGCTTGGTTTATCATCTGGAGAAGGCAAGACCCTCCACAGCGCAGGCAGATGCTACAGTCAGTGCAATTTCAGAAGAAATCTTCTGATGCTACATGTGTAACCATTTTTCTGCAGTCTGCCCCAGTGATGTTCTCACCTGGAGCAAAAAAACAGCCCAAACACTCTCCTTAATTAGGTGAAGTTAGCTGTTTTTACAGCTTGTAAGGTTCAAACTAGACGGATTATCCATGTACCCATTGCATTAGCAGGGCTGGCTGCCTCAGATCTGAGTTCATCTTCCTTAGATCCAAAGAAAGGAAAGGAAAAAAAAGAGGAGCTCTAAAAAAGAAAAACATGCTTTTGGTCTCCCATCAGGTGATTTCTTACTCTCACCTCTGGGTTTGTCACACAGATGCACAGCACCTGGGCTGATGGGAGAACCTGTTCACACCAGCAGCAGAAAAAGAGTCCTGGGCCCCACAGTCCAGCACATCTCCTTCCCTGGGTAATCCTCCCACAGCACTGTAAGTTATTACAGATGGCTACACCAACAATAATCAAACATGACACCCAATCACCTCGAGATCACTTGCAGCCCAGCTGTCCTGGAGAAGGGACAACCCATCCCATCACTGGGCTAAGGCACAATCAAATATTTAAATGAATGTTTCTGCTTCAGGTCAGCTTCGCCTCCCTCCTGCCGCTGGCTCCGGAGCGGAGAGCGATCCCCTTGCATTGCCCTGACAACCTGGGGATGGGTTACAGCCACGGCCGGGCTGCTCAATGGCAGCGCTGGGTACTTGACATGCGACAATGGGATACGTTTGCCTTTTTTCAGAAATGAGAGGCTGACATTGTGAAGCGGTTAAAGCCAGACATCCAAGCGAGGCCATCACCATACACGGGCTCAAAAGGCTTTGTCTGCCCTTCTAAGAGAAATTTCATAATATGCGAGGGTGAGCAGTCAGCAAAAGGCTTGGATAGCTCGACTTATAATCATCCCCAGCTTCCTCACAACGGCCCTGAATACATCTTTGATTGGTTATGTATGAGA